GAGCAGCATAGTTACACTAATATGCCATTGTAGCATGTTCCCATCCTGTCATCTGGAAAATTAAATCAGGTTCCAGCATGGATTAACATCCAGACTTGTGTGGAGGGGAAGGTACTGTCTTAAATGCCATGAAATTGAACAATGGGATTATACAGTTCACAGCTAATTTCAATATTCTGCTGTACTTGGCTTTTTGTTAAACAAGATCCTGTATGGGGAGGCAGGCATAGCTTTTACAACTTGGAAACATGACGATGTTTAATGAAATACTAACAATAATAGCTGGAATATGTTTGAGTAGTGAATGCAGTGCTCTACATGCACGGATGTGACATGGAGTCTGCACTTCCAGAGGGAAAATCTGGATGTGTTATCCATGAGAGCTGCACTCAGCCAGTGCAGTGTGTGCTCTGTGTTACCCTTTGTGAGCCTGTACATGCTGCAGTGCAGAAAAGCCTTGCTCTCTGTCCCCAAGAACCAGTGCTGCCTTTGCTCACCCCTTTCCAAAATAACCCCACGTTGTTCCTCTGGGAGGTGATTCAGTCGCTTCCCTCAGAAGCATCTCTTAAAATAGTTGTAAGGGAAGCTGCTGCAGAAATAGCCCCAGAACCCGGTTCATGCGGGGATTCCCAGCTGGCCCTCGCTGGGACAGGCTGTCCCTGCTGAGGAGCGAGGGCTGCTGGAGCTCCTGGGCTTTGGCCAGCTGAGATTGTGGCAGCAGCTGCTTTGGATGGAGCTGTGTCCTCTGGGAAGAGAGGTTCCAGTGGTGCATGGCACGTTGGTCAGTGAGCCCACGCTGGCCTCACTGAAGTCACTCGTGGATCTTAGCACATTGATACAACGTGCCATTGGTAAACAATTTAAACCTGAGTGTAAGCCTTAGGAATAAAATCGACTTTTTTCTTGGTACTAGCAGTTTAAGATTGTGACGTATGTGTATTTCTTTGCACTTGTGGCCCTACAAGAAGGGGAGATTGCAGATGGGATGGTGTATTTTAGCTTTATTTTGGAATGTTAGTGCTTGTAATCTTTCTGCTTTACACTTGCAACTCACAGTTTCCAGTGCTGTATTTCAGTGTGTATTTGTATTCATGGATGGCTGTTTTCCAGGGAAGTTTAGGCATAAACTGTGTGGATCTTGTAATCTTTGTGAGCTGAAACTAAAAATCCAGTTGTAAGGGAAGATAAACAGGAGATTCTAGGTTACCAGCAACAGAAGAGTTCAGTGTATAGCACAAGCTGAGTTCTTGGTTTGGGGTTGGGACAAGTTTAGTTTGAGAAGCATCTCCATAATTCCTGTGACTTTTTCCTCTTGGGGGTTAACCTGCCCTGTGCTTGTTCCTGGTTTGCAAGGTCCTCTCCTGCTCTCAGCTGAGCTTTCAGAGCTCTGTGAAGTTATAGGTGACTGCAGGGCTTCAGCCCAGTGCTCTGCTGTAGCTGGGCAAGAGGTTGGTTGGGATTTCAGCCTGGCTCTTCCCTTGTTCTGATGTCAGCAAATAGATTCCACTCTCCTGAACTTGAAAAACGTATTTTACATGTGTTTACTTTGCATCATTTCACTCGAAAGCCTGTTAAGTACCTGGAATAACAGCGTTCCCTGTGTTTTGAGTTTCTTACTGCCTACAACTACAATGGAGCTGCATCTAACTGTTTGCATGCACTGTGCAAAACAAATTACTGTGAATAAAAGTGTTTGAAGTTCCCAAGTTACTTTGGTTTACAGGCAGAGTTGACAGTCAGTTCTGTTCATGTGTTTGCCAAATATTTCACACGAGTGCTGAAGCAGTTTTCACTGATCCTCCTGGTGCTGATTAAAGCTGAGTCCTGGGTGCTGGCTTGGCCTCTGTCTGTTTGTTTGACTGTTTTCTTTGTTCAGAATAATTTGGATATCATGTCTGTTGTGATTTTTGGGTGACTTGTGCTTATCCCTTCAGGGGAGAGCCTGGCTGTACTGAGTAGTATAATAGCAATGTTTGGTTTAGAGATATTTATATTTCATAAAGTTAGGTATCTTGAGGACCACTGTTGTGTGTATTTATGTCAGTCCTCTTGGTGTAGTGAGGGTGGTCTGGCTTCCTGAAACTTCATGGCAGAGCATGCAGAATTGAAATATACCTCTGTTGTGTAATGTGTAGGTAAGTATAGTTGAAAACACCTTTGAAATTCACACTGGGTTAACAATGAAGAATGGATGCAGTGATGAAAGCTATAAGATGTAGGGTTTTTTCCCCTGTGACCAGTGTAGTGTTTTCCAAATAAAGATAGTGAAAGTTTAGTAAATATTCCCAGACCATTTAAAGTGGGAAGTGGTGAGCTGACCCAACCTGAAATAGAAAGGACTTGTGAAAACATGGGGATCTGTGGCTGCCAGGCATACTCAGGGTGAGTTCAGCTGCTGGGGGTGCTGGAGTCTCACCCAGCCCTGCCCAGAGCTCTGCTCTGCACCAGGGGCTGAGATGGGGCTCTCAGCCTTCATTTAAACACGCTCCAGCAGGTTTGTCTGGGCTGTCCTTCATGGCAGGGAGCTCCAGGAACACAGAAGGGCTTTCAAAATGCTAAGAAAACAGGAAAAATACATGTTTACACACACACAAAATTACTTTGTATGGCTAATCTGTTTTGTTAGATTTTTCAAGAATGAGAATATGGTTTGCCATCTATGGACAAATGTGTTTAGAGCAAACACACTTTGGATTTATGTCAAATTGAGTTCTCATTTCCCTATGAGAATGGTAAATGATAAAATGTTGTGTGTGGCAGTATGTGTATATATATTTATATTAAGTTTGAGAGCAATGGATCAATAGAAGGGGGAGAAATGTAGGTTTCATGTTCAGACACCATTGTGGATGTCTGCAGCAATACAAATTTGTTTCTTTCATTGATTTGGGTTTTCTTTTCCTTGGTGAAATTCTGATATCTTGACCTCCATTAATTAATTTTAAAATTATTTAAAAATATGCATCTAAATAGGTGTGGCATGGTTTCTTTTACCACTGATGCTGTGCTTGCTGTGCTGAAGTGTGAAGCTGTACTGTCCTGTTAGTTGCTAACTGTGTGCAGAGGGGACCCATGCCAGCACAGCTGGTCACATCTTTTTGTGTGTTTGGACACTGTGCTCACTTACCTGTGTCTAGGATGAAGAATTTTCAAAGTAAAGCTTTAAAAGGAGATCCCTTGCTCTCTGTTTCTGATTTGCTGTGCTAATGTAGACGGGTTTGCTGATACCTGCCTGTACAGTTTGATATATTGTATATGTATCACAGTGAGATGTCCAGACCAGGTCTGATTGTCTGGAAAATGTAAACCTGGAAAGTTTATAAAGGCCCAGGCTGTTGGATTTCTCATGTGTACAGAATACATCTTGAGAAGGAGTTTGCACCTGCTGGCAGAAGAGCCACCATGGCCCAGCTCCTCACTCGGGGAACGCTGCTCTGGGGACTCTGGGCTGGACCTGTGGGACTGCAGGGGAGGGGCTGGGGCTGTGTCTGCAGCACCAGACCCAGCCTGGCACCGTGTCTGCAGCACCAGACCCAGCCTGGCACCTGGCCTGGCACCTGTGGGACTGCAGGGGAGGTGCTGGGGCTGTGTCTGCAGCACCAGACCCAGCCTGGCACCGTGTCTGCAGCACCAGACCCAGCCTGGCACCTGGCCTGGCACCTGTGGGACTGCAGGGGAGGGGCTGGGGCTGTGTCTGCAGCACCAGACCCAGCCTGGCACCGTGTCTGCAGCACCAGACCCAGCCTGGCACCTGGCCTGGCACCTGTGGGACTGCAGGGGAGGTGCTGGGGCTGTGTCTGCAGCACCAGACCCAGCCTGGCACCGTGTCTGCAGCACCAGACCCAGCCTGGCACCTGGCCTGGCACCTGTGGGACTGCAGGGGAGGTGCTGGGGCTGTGTCTGCAGCACCAGACCCAGCCTGGCACCTGGCCTGGCACCTGTGGGACTGCAGGGGAGGTGCCCGTGCCACCCTCGCTCCTGAGCCAGGCGTGGCCCAGCCTGGGGCTGTGTCTGCAGCACCAGACCCAGCCTGGCACCCAAGGGCAATGCTGCCACGATACTGTTCGTTTGTTCTTGCATTGAACTTGATTCTGAGCTCTTGCCTGATTGTTATATGGTTTGGTGTTTGTAATTAAAAAATTATCTTTGTAGAATGGAATGTGGCCTTCTCCGATGTATTCCTTTGAAAAATGGATGGCTTTGAAGAGATCTGTTTTAAATAGGTTGTCGTATAAATAATTTCAATCATGGTATTCTGTTGTTTTATGAACATCTCTAATTAAATTTAAGATAACTTCTCAGGGAATACTACCTTATTATTTATTCTGACAGCCAAAGGAGTAAGGACATTGCATCAGTCTTGAATGCTTGCTACTCTGAAGTGTTTCACACTTGTTTTCCTGATGAGACAGGTTCCAGAACTGTGTTAATTGCCTCTTTCCAATTCTGGATACATATTTTTGGGTTTTTAGGGAGCATATCTTAACATAAGTACAAAGTAATTTTGAGGGATTTGTAAACTGGTGTCAATGAAAATTGTCTATGGAGATAAATCAGCACAGTGCTTGGAGGTGGCAAAACTGGCTGTCTGATTTTAACCAAAATCATTGGGTAACCATTCCTGGTGATAAGCCCAGATGGCAAATTGCAGCCAGAAAGATGCAGCCCAAGCACCAGCCTGAAGTTCAGTCTAGCACCACGGCTTCTCTTCAAAAGTAATTTATATATATATGTGTGTGTGTGTGTGTGTATGTACACACAGACATTTTTGGTTTCATGTGTTTTGTGTGTGTTTTATGTGCAGTTTTTTTCTGTCTGGAGGAGGGTAAAGGGAGAGCCTTGAAAAGTCCTTCCCTGCTCTTATCAGCACAGCAGCCTCAGCTGCCCTCCTTGGATCCCCTGCCAGGGTTGCTATCATCTTCTGATCAAATATTAATGTGTGATTCTCTGCTTGCTCACTAATCCAAAGCCAATTAATATTATCTGTCAATTATTTACAGATCCTGAGGTGCGGAGGCAATTCCCAGAGGGCTACAGTGACCAGGTTTGGAATGCGTAATTAATTTTTTACATGACAAAATTTATTTCAGGGTTGTTCAACATATTATTGCTGCTCTTTTTACTGAAAGAGATAAATGCATTCTTAGAAAGAAAAAGAAGCTGTAATTAGAAGCAGAAGGATAAAAACATTTTTACACATAAAGCAGAAAACGGAAGAATTTGGATCTCATAAGATTGGTTTACAATCTCATTTTTACCAGCGAACATGAGAGCAAGAAGGAAAATTGATTAATAAATTTCACTTTTTGCCTTTAGGTGCCAGAGCCGCAGTTCATTTGGCAGAGCTCTCTGCATTGTCTGAGGTTTATAGCTGTGTTTAACTGGGCACCTGGCACTACAGCACATTTTTTAAATTCTTGCCTGATCATGCAGTCTCTAGTCTGCTTCAAAAAGATGGTATAAAAGCCCAAATGTGTGGGTAGAACACACAGGGATTTATCATTTGGTTTAAACACAGATTGAATTAGGAATTTTTCACAGGCTCTAGCTGACTGTGGAATTAACACCTCCAAATTGCCTCGTCCTTGCCTGTGCCATCGGGAGTGGCCTGGGCTGGAGCCTGGGCTGTTCTGGGGTGTCAGGGGGGCACAGGGGGGGCACTGGGTGTCCAGTGCCAGGCTCAGCCCTGGCCTGGTGCTGCCGTGGGTGAGCTCCTGCACCTCCACTCCTGGCAAGTGCTGAAGCTATGGCATGGTGGAGCTGTTTAACAGAACAATAAATTTGGTCTCAATGAGTCTCTGAAATTGGGTGATATCAGGTTAGGGTCAGCATAGCTATATTAGCTCAGATCCTTTCCCTCTAATTATGTTTTCACACAATGTGAAATTTTGTGGCATTTAGACTAAAGCATTTAACAAATTGTTAGCTGTGACGGCTCTCCACAGCCAAGACAAATGGTTTCATATTTGGCTGTAATCACTGCGTGCAGTGGGACCTTGACCAGGCCTTCTGGGTGGTTTTGTAGTCATAGTATTTTTTTCAAAGCACCTATTGAACTACCTGACTGCTTTTCTCTGTAGTTCATTGTTAGGACTTGCTGTACACATGGAGTAGCATGGAACTAAACCTTTTGGAGAACTGCATCCTTATTGCCACTGTAGGTCTGTAAGTTGTTAATAAACAGCTCTCTGAGTTTGGGTTTCTGTGAGGACTAGCTGCTTTTCAGCAGTGCTGTGTCTCAGGTTAATCACGAGTGAAAGGAGGGCCCTTCAGAGCTGGGACAGTCAATTGTGTCCAGGATCAAGGTGTTACAGGAGAGCCTTGTAATACAATTGACTTCAGAAAATTCCTAACAATCCCCTTTCTTCTGCTGGAAATGGTTAGACTTGTATTATATTGCTGTGAATATGCAAGACTGAATGAAACTCAGAGGAGCCAGAGGCTCATAAAAATTCGTAAGATGTTCACCCAGTTCTAGTCAGAATTTCCAATGGCTGATGTCAGACCCCCTGAAAACACAGAGCTGTGTTTGTGTGGTTTTGGGCTGGGGTTTTACTTTGTCAGATATTTTGCACATGCGAACTTACAGGGAAAGCAAAAGAAACGAGGCTGAACTTCTCAGATTTGAGTAGATTTCAAAGACATTTTTCCTGTTGATGAATGGACAGAATATTCTCTGATCCTGGTAGCTCGATGTTCTTCAAGAGGAGAACATGTCCAGAGCTGACAGATTTAGATTTGAAAAATCACTTGAACATTCAAGTAAGCCAGAGAGGAAGAGCTACATCCACGTTTGTCCTTATGTTGCAAATCAGTCAAGTTAGGTTTATTTCTTAAAATTTCTGGTTTATTATTCTTTGGAAGAAAAAAAAATGTGGAAGTGCCATGTCACTGCAGATGAAAATCCATGGTAAAAACCCCTTGATTTTTCAGTGTGTATTCTGTATGCAAAGGAGAGAGATGATCTGCATGTTAGCGCAGGCAAAAATTGTTTCTAGCAATCAAACATTTATGATTTAATCCAGAAGGAATATTTGAGTTAAATCAACACAAGGTAAAGCACTTATTAGTAAGAAAAAAAAAAGGAAAAACACCTCAAGTTTTTTTTTATTCATCTAAACTCTCAGTGCTTGTTTTTACATACACTGTATTTCCCATGTACCAGCACATCTGATCAGAGACCCTCGCTGCTGCTAGATGTTTTATTCTGTGTGTTCTTTGTACCTTACAGTAAAAGAATCTGTCACAAATTATTGTGCCTCACTGCTTTAGAAACTGAGAAAAAAGGGAGGTTAGATTGACATCTGTGACTGAATAATGATGACCAGCCTTTTGGCTCCCCTTGAGCCACAAAGCCAGCATTGCCTTTAGAGAGGAAAAAGGAGTAAGAAGAAAGGGGAGGGATAAAAGAGAGTTACAAATCTGTGGTCCCGGAGATGTATTACTGTTGGGCCAGTTGTCTGCGTGGTATGATAATCCATTTTGATCTTCTGTCTTAATTGTCTGCTAAAGACAAATGGGCAGTAAAAGTTCATCAGTTTCATCTTTTGCTTCTCATTTAGAGACAGAATAAATGATCCATGGCTACAGAAGAAACCTTTCTTTCTGACACGGAAGTAATGCAGACCCAACACGTTTTATTAAAATATTTCTCCCTCATTATTTCAGTCCTCTCAGCTCTGATAGATCTCACTGTTTCATGAAGAATGTAATCTGAAATGTAAATAAGGGGTTTGATACAAAGTCAGGAAGTAATGAGCAGGCCAGCCACATTGCAGGAATTTTGATTGTAATTACTGACAAAGTGAATTCTGCGTGTCCTGATTTTTTTCCCTCAAGTTGTCTTTGACATGTTCAGACCACAATGACATCTACGGTTTAAATCTGTTAAATAACTGTATAAGGGAATATTTTATAGAAAATGTCATAGACAAGGTAGCTGAGGAGCCTTACCAAGGGGAGAAAATGCTAATGATTGCTCCAGGCCTCTTGAAATGGGTAAAATGAGGCTTTTTTGAGTGGCAGGAGGGACACTGGAGTAGTCTTGAGATACATTTTAAAATATGAGACCGTTTTAACTTGTTGGGCTGTTTTATAATAGTTTTTAAGAACAAAATGTATATGTATGTGTTTGTGGTTTTACCTAGCATGAAATCAGTAACTGTTGGTATTATAAGCAGCAGTTTCCCAGTGCTGGATTTTCAGCATGACCTCAGAATTTAAACCAGATGAGAACTCCTAGTTTTTCTTTACAAAATGCAGTCACTGTAGATAGAATACAAGAAAAATCCTTCTGTATCACTGTATTTTCTGCCTTGGGTTCCTAATAAAAAGTTAGTAATGAAGTCAATGTTGTTTAGGTGGAATCCTGTGCTGTTGGGGTATTGTAAACACCATCCATGGCAGGGCACCACATGAATTTTGGCTGTCCGCTGTTTTGAAGATTAATCCCAAGATTAACAACTCTCCTGGGTTAATTTAAAGACAAGGAAGTTTGCAGTAAAGATAAAAACTTCTGTCAGAGACAATACAGCAAATAGTTGTTGTATAAATATATAGAAATAGGAAGTAGTAAAATAATCAGTGGCAGATGCAGGAGGAATTAGACAACCATGGAAAATGCAGTCCATTTTAAAACACTTTTTTATTTCCAGTAATGCATCATTTGGCTCCTGACTGTTTTAATCTTTATAGCTCATCTGAAAAGGAAAGGAAAAGTGCTGTTGTGATGGTTGCTGTTTGTGAGCTGCTCTCAGTGGTATGATGGCTTGTCTGTAATTTGATGAACTATTGTATGTTCAGTTAATTACTCCAGGAATGACTGAGGTATGCGTGCTTGCAAGCTGGTACTTATGCAGATTGCTACTTCCATTCTGCTGGTAATTTTTCTTTCCACTGGCATTGAAACAGAGTTTATAACGAAACCAACAATCTTTATACATTTATAGATAAACTATAAAACTTTTATGGCAGTCTTTATATAGAAACTAATGGTCTTTCTTGTACAAAGTCTATGAGCATTGTGCAAACATTGCACACAGGGAAAAATAAAAAGCTCTTTCTTTGTGTCATCGAGAGTTGTGTGATTGGAGAGTCGTTACACAGTGCTGGCCACTAATGGAGCATAAACCCCCTGTCTTGGAAAGTCTGTGTGCACTAAGGGACTGAGCTGCTTGAACAGGGGTGATTATAATCCAATTGGATATTTCTGAATTGCACATAATCTGAGGATAAACATTTTACCTTACAGGTTGCATACACAGTATGATAAAACCTGTCTTGAGAGTAATTTAAAAAAAGAGCTGTTCTTTCAGGAGCAGATGAAGTTGGGTGGGAAAGGCTGAGCAGTTAGTAATTTAGAAAATGTAGAAAAGTGGTCCTGGTGGTTTTTGTCTTTAAGCTTGTGGTTGAAGCAGCTGCTCCACATGATCCTGTCTGGGAAAGAGCTGAGGTGGAAATGTTTGGTTTTCTGTTTGTGCATCGTTGATAGCATTAATTGAATGTCTTTTCACTTACGATATCTGTGTCTCAGAAGTCATGGTGCAGGGTAGGAGTGGTAAAAGTGCAGAAAGCAAATAGTAATTAACTGGCAGTTAATGTTTTGAAGGAGCTCAGGAGGTGCTTGATTTTGGCCTGAGAGTACCTGAGGTCGTGTTGGACTCTGGAGTCTGTCTGTGAAAACCACACCAAGAGCCAGTGTCCAGATGTCAGGAGACTTCTGAATAGAAACAGAGGAATAATTGGGTTCAACTGTGAGGAAGTATGTCCAAGCCATTTTCTAAACCATCTCAGTTCTGTTTTGTGAAAAATTTTAATAGATATTGGAAGTTTGCTAAACACCATTTGGTTTTACCACAGATGATTCAGTGAGTGCAAGTATTAGTGGCTACAATCGTATGGCCTTTGTTATACAAGAGGTCAGACTAGATGATCATGATGGTCCCTTCTGGTCTTAAAAATCTGTGAATATATGAATAATTTAAAACCTGTCCTGCAAAGCCTTATTCGTTGAGGTGGTGATATTAAAATCCTGTGGGACTGCTT